GGTCTGTCTCCTCCGGGGTCTCCTCCGTGCTTGCCGCGGGCCGGGCGGGCGCTTTCCCTGCGGCCGAGGCAGCCGTGCGGTAACGTGGCAAGAGGGGGTTGGGTGGCCAGGGCCTCTTGGAGTGTGCGGCTGGTGTGCGGGCAGCAGGTAACCCTCCCTTAGGAGAGCGCAGTTTATTACTTGTCAGCGGTGAGTCTGGGGGAGATGAGAAGGAAGCTGGATATAACCGCTCGGTGTCTTCGTTTTATTTCAGCACGGGGCGGCGGGGGGCGGGCATAAGGAATGGCGACGAGAGGCGTAAGGAAGTTATAAAAATGGAGGCTATCTGTAGGCGAAACTGAGCGGGTGTTCAGTTGAATGTGCGTCTGACGTGTGTATTCGACTTTGTGGGCGTGTGCGTGTTTTTTAGAGAACTTTCCTCTTTTAGTTAATGACTTGCAAGTGCTAGTGGTATTTCTAACGTGCCATGTCTTGAAACTCTTTTTCAGACGAAGGGTACATCGTCATTTGGTAAGCGCCGAAATAAGACACACACCTTGTGTCGCCGATGTGGGTCCAAGGCATACCATCTGCAGAAATCCACCTGTGGGAAATGTGGTTACCCTGCTAAGCGTAAGAGAAAGTGTAAGTAACAAAACTTTTAATTGACTTGAGTTTAAAAATCTTTTGTTTCTTTGTCGTCTTCAGAGGCTTGATTTATTTTCCAACGAAGGAGGAATACAGTGTCATCTTGCAGTGCCTGCAGCTTTCAATGCTGATTTAACTATTTTAGCTAACATGCAGTATCATTACATAGAAATGGACTTTTTTTTTTTTATGTCACATGTGCAATACAAATGTAACGTGCAACTTAATTTTTGCAGCAGATAAGTAACAGTAACTTGTATATTTTAGATAACTGGAGTGCAAAGGCGAAAAGACGCAACACCACTGGCACTGGTCGCATGAGGCACCTGAAAAAGGTCTACCGTCGATTCAGGTATAACAATTTATCACAAACTAATGTGGTGTGAAATCCTGCATAGACATCACTTAATTATAAAATTGATCATTCAAAGTTAGCATTTTTATTTATTTAGTGAACTTAATGTAGCATGGTCTTTTTTCTTAAATATATCATGAACTAAATGATGCTTTAGATAGTTTGCTACATATTCCTTGAGGTAAACAAAACTCACTGTTAATACACAGGGTGTAGAGTAAGCTCTGATGTTTCTGTTAAGTGTAGATAGTACAGAATACAGAGATTATTGTAATACAATATGCACAGTTAAAAACACATGCTTTGTGTAGTACTGCCTCTAATTGTGAGTCAGTCGAATTGCTGATTATACTGTGTGTTTCTGTAAGAATCAAGTCTTGAAATGTGTTCCAGTTCCCATTTGCCTACCAAAAAAAAGTTCAGGACTGGAATAACTTCAGTAGACACTTAATTTGGAGTTTGGTTAGCAATAAGTAGCTATCTAAGTAGCTATAACATCAGATTCTGAGGTACAGGTTTCTAAAACTTGTTACAAAGCTTTAAGTTATACTGATGAGGTAATAGTGGGGATATTGTAGTGTAGCCACCAGAAAATAACCTTACAGTGTGCAGCTGTAGCATCCTTTCCACTGGATGTTGCTTGGGGCTGATTCTTCTTTTGTCATGCCTGTCATTAACTTCTGGTTGGAGGCATAGAGGATTTCTGTAAGAAATTGACCTGCACTGCACAAACATGAAATAGTTTTCTGAGTTGCTTGGTAGGAACATAAAGTAAGGCATGCCTTCAGCAGATGTGCTGTTTCTGATGTATTCTTGCAGTGTTCACTCACTCACTGAAATATTTGTGTCTGAAGAAGTCAAATCTGCTTCATCAGAAGAGAGCAAAAACCCATACTGCTTATTCCAAACACTTGTTAGTAAGATGTTTCTTACTAAAAATGTTGGAGCATATGAACTCTGTAGTGATTTCAGTGCATTACTGAGAAGCTGAAAAAAGCTGGTGAATTTGATATCGCTTGTCAGCAAATATCCTGGAGCAGGAATCATCCTTTCAAAAAGTGATAACCATGTTTCTACTTGCAGGAATGGATTCCGTGAAGGAACCACACCGAAGCCCAAGAGAGCCGCTGTTGCAGCCTCTAGTTCATCATAAAGACTCATCTATTTGTTAAAATAAATGGTCTTATCTAGAAAATCTGTCACTTTTTATATGTGTTTTATTTCAGCAAAATGCGGTATTCCTGAAAATACATGTGTTTACACACACAGTTTCTTGATGGTATGCATTGAAGCAAGTCATTAAAATCAGTCCCTTAACTGATTTTTCATTCAGTAGCACTCCTGCCTTGAAAATGACCCTTATCTCTGTGCTGAAATTAAAAAGAGGCTTGTATATCTAGAGGAACTCAACTGCAAAAGAAATGAAATGTTGGCACTATGGACTTGCTCTTCTTGGAGTTTCATTGTGCCCTAGCATGGAGAGTCAGAATTTTATTTTAAAGATAGTAACTTGTGTAATGCATCTACATGCTGTTCTGGGAGGCAGTAGTTAAGGAGGGATTTTCAGTCTTAGACATTATTCACTGCAGTGGCACTGAAAGGTCTGCAAAAGTAGTGTTTATTCAGTGGGTTATTGCTTCTTGGGCAAAAAAGCCCAAGCTTTTTTGGGCTCCCAAGTCTGGAGCACGGATACTGCCAGATACAAAAGATGGGATATTGGCTGTGGTTGGAACAGAAAAGTTAGTTGCCCAAACAGTGGGCAGGTTGGTGTGGAAAGCTGATGCAGAAAAAGATCTAAATTAACTATACTGAGTATAATGGTAGGTAGTATGACACATAAGTCAGTCACTTTGGGGTACGTATGAATTACAGATTGATGCCTGATGAATTTGTACCCTAGATGCTATGTTTCTGGGCTGACTTTCAGCATTAAAGTGATCATAAGGTGCTCTACTAAAGCTTGGGAATTGCAGTAAAAACTAAGGATTTAGAGGATTTTCAGACATGTTGAAGAGAAAATACTAAAAAAATAAAACCGAGGTTGTGAGTCTGCTCTTACTGCAATTCCTTTGGTTTCATCATGAGCTTCTAGCAGCAGTGTACTGCTGGAGGATCAGCAGCTGATATATCAACTTGTGCAAATCACTGAAGAAATTGTCAGCCAGGTTTGAAATCGGAGTACACCTGACTGCACTTTGTTACATTTTTAAGTACAGGTAATGCCTTTGGATACTTGAGTGTATTTACTTGGGCTGTTTCTAAAGAAAAAAGAGATGTCTTTGCCTGCTGTCCTTGGTATGTACCATACCCTATACTTCCCCTGCTTTCAGCTGGTTCTTCCAAGAAAGTCAAAGTGGCAGTGAAATAGTTAAAATACATTTTGTGCATGCTACACATCCACGTATTCCCAGGGCTCAGGAGTGCATCTGAAATGTGGGATTTGATGTCATCCTGGGAAGCACTTAAATGTAGGGGGAAGTAATAATAAATGTGTCTTTGTTGTCACTCTCAGAATAACCCCTACCTTTAAAAAGAGGTCAGCAAGGCTTTTAAGAGATTGTTGAGCAATGGTACAGCTAGGCAGTGGTACAGAAGGTATTCTGGCTATGGGTGGGAATGAAAGCCTTTGATTTGCGAAGGCTTATGTGATCTTTGTGTAATGTGGGATTTTTGTTCTGAGCCACCTGTCATGCTGACCCACAAACATGATGTGATACTGCAAAGGTAAGTGCTTAGCAGTTTGCTGCTGCTGTTAGCCCCTCAGCATGAGTTACGCTCCTGAAAAACAAACATCTGTATAATATACAAAATATAAAAGTAATTAAAACTTGCAATGGCTTGCATTAACTTCAAAAACAAACTTCATTTTGGGGAATTTTACCTAGAGCAAGAATGAATTTTATGGACATTTGACAGCCATTGCATTCTTGACTGTTTCAAAATTCCTGGTGAGCAGCAGGAAATCAGTTACTTTGGCTTTGTATTAGACCTTGTTCAGAAAAGCTTGGGTAGCTCGTATCAGTCATAGTTGGACTAAAAGCTTTAATGCATCTAGGTTTTGAAGCACTTTAGTTCTTCATAGTGTTTTCTTAAAGGCTGAAAGCTAGACTGCCTTGGTGGTTTTTCAGTACATAAATCTTTCATTGAGATCTGGTTACAAGCATCTTTACTTGAGGGTTATCAGTTAGAATTGAACCTCTGCATAGTGATCACTGACAGTTTAGATCAGCCCCTTAATGTATAAAACTATTGCCATACACAGTCTAATGTTTCATTTTTGCATCCTTCAGACTGGTATATATGGCACAGTCTAAATCAGAAATCACTGCATCTCATACTGTTCACTGTAGCAAGCCTCTATTTTTGGACAAAAGTGTATCAGATGAAGGTTTCTTGAAGGCAGAGGGGTGCCACAGGTGACTGCAGTGGTGGAAGACTGATTAGCTTTGGTATGTCTATTCTAAAAGTACAACTGCATGCCAGAGTTCAAAAAGAATAAAGAATCTTTGTCAGCTTGAGGGTCAGAGCTTTTTTTCAGTCTCAAACTTGGAAGAAGGAATTCTGCTTATTGCCATGGAGCAGCATTTCATTTGTGTTTGTTCATACTGAAAGGACGACAAGACCTAACAAAGCTGTTCAGTGCATAGCGAACCATAGGTATTGGGCAACTGACAAATCATTCAAAGGTAATTTAGACTTCTAGTACCATTGTGTATCCTGAAAAGACATGTAAATAACAGTACGTGGTTTTTAGATAGGTTGTGTGTGTGAACTGCCAAACCCAATAGGGTGAATAAGGTTGTACTGGGTCTGGCTGAGCTGGAACTGGTTTTCCTCTGTAGCAGCCCTCACGGTGCTCTGTTTTATGCTGGGAGCTGGCAGGGTGTTGGTAGCACCCTGGTGTTGTGGCTACTGCTGAGCAGTGCTTACACAGCACCAAGGCTCTTTCCGACATTTCCCCCCCCCCCCAAGTGGGATGGGGTGGGCAAGATCTTGGGAGGGGACACAGCCAGGACAGCTGACCGAACTGACCAAAGGGATACTCCAGACCACATGACGTCTGCTCAGTATAAAGCTAGGAGGAAGGGGGTGGGGTCACCCTTGGTCCTCTGAGGCAACCACTACGCGTATTGGAGCTCTGCTTCCTGAGAAGGCCCGACATCGCCTGTCCATGGGAAGTAGAGAATAAACCTGTTTGCTTTTTTGCTTCCACGTGCAGACCTTTGCTTCACTTTGCTTACATTAAAACTGCTTTTGTTTTACCCACAAGGGTTGGTCTATCTGATTTTCTTTCCCCTCTTTGCCCTGCTGAGAAAACAAGGGGAAAGGGGGGGATGTGATAGAGCGACTTGGTGGGTACCTGGCATTTAGCCAAGGTCAAACCACCACAGAGGTACACCTCTGTCAGTGTGAGATTGTTGACTCCACAGCAGGAACAGCTGAACAAGGTGTTTCACACTTTTTGACCCACAGCTGTTTCTGCCATCCAGTGTGCTATCATAAAGTGGTGCTAATTTTACCTATAAATTAAGATTACCTCCTCTGTTGCTGTATTGTGAGGGTAGTATGGAGACAGTCCAGTTCCTTTTTCCACAATGACACAAGCAAACAACACTCACTAGATTATTGTGACCCCTGGAGAGGGGAGAGGTAGTCCTAACATGTCATGAGATTCTCTAAGAGGAAAGTGTGGGGGCAAGAAGGCTGTTAGTCACTTTTCTTCATGGATTTACGTGAAAAAGGTTCATTGTTTGCTTGATGACAATGATCTGAAGACTTCTCTGAAGAGTAAGTTACTTTCCTATTCACAGCTTTAACTACTACACTAGATTCTTAAACTTCTTTGCTGTATTGTTGGAACAGATTCAGAGGCAGCCACAGGATGATCATGGAGCTGGAGCACCTCCCCTGTGAGGACAGGCTGAGAGAGTTGGGGTTGTTCAGCCTGGAGAAGAGAAGGCTCTGGGAGGGACCTAAAGCGGCCTACAAGCAAGCCAGAGAGGGACTTTATACAAGGGCAGGTAGCGATAGGACGAGGGGTAATGGCTTTAAACTGAGAGATTCAGATTAGATATAAGGAAGAAATGCTTCTCTGAAAGGCTGGTGAGACACTGGCACAGGTTTCCCAGAGCAGCTGTGGCTGCCCCCTCCCTGGCAGTGTTCAAGGCCAGGCTGGACGGGGCTTTGAGCAACCTGGGCTAGTGGAAGGTGTCCCTGCCCATGGCAGGGGGGGTGGGACTACATGGTCTTTAAGGTCCCTCCCAACCCAGACCACCCTATGACTATTTGATATTAAAATTTATTTCAGAGCCCTAAATGAGAACTTTTGGGGTCTTGGCCTTACACTACAAAAGTGGAGCTTCTTTACTCAAAATATCAAATAACTCGATTAGGTGACACTATTTGTCTTACTCAGAATATGTATAAATTCCCCCACCTCATGGCACAGCTGGCATAGGCTGCATCCCTAAAAACATGTAGTTAAAACAAGGTAAATTCCAACTTAAACTTTTCTGGGGATATTTAATGAGGTAAACGCCTAATGAACATGTTAAATCAGCAGTCCTCAATACACGCTGTGGGCAAACTGGCAAAAATTTGCAATTTGTTAATGGAAAAAAAGTCTAGTGTTTTCCAGAGAGCATTGCTTGCTTAGTGTTGTTACCTCTAGAGTGCCAGCAAACTGCAGACTGTGCTTTGTGATAAGGTATTTCATATGTAGGTAATAGAGATCTTGTATTTATGTGTAGGGAAAGATGCTAGAGGACAAAAGAGAGAATTTTCTAACTGCAATAAAGATGGGATAAATAAAGCATTTAATGATGTTTTCTTTCTTATGGTAATCTTAACTGATGATCCTCTAATAGTGTATATGCAAATAATAGCTGCATTTATGTCATGGATAGAGTAATGCACTTGTAAGAGAGAAGTAGCAATACGATTACTGATATAAACCAGTGATTTTAACGAAGTTTGATAGTAAACGCAGCAGCAGTTTAATGAGATTTGATGGCAAGGTTCACTTGATATTTACTGCACAGAGAACAGGTCTGGTGATGCGATTCCTCAACCCCACTCCTGGGCCACTTGGTGTTGAGTGTGAACGGCTATAACAGCCCATCACGTCCTGACAGCCTGGTATGCCTGTACCTGGGGTGCAGTCAGGGAGAACAATAACAGAATTGCACAGCCATCAA